TGGCACCATTGCAGCTAACTGCAACCTCCGCCTCCCAGGTTCAAGTAGTTCTCCTGCCTCAGCCTCCTGAGTAGCTGGGATTACAGACACACGCCACCATGCCCTGCTAATTTTTGTGTTTTTTAGTAGATACGGGGTTTCACCATGTTGGCCAGGCTGGTCTTAAATGCCTGGTCTTAGGTGATCCACCCACCTTGGCCTCCCACAATGCTGAGATTACAGGCGTGAGCCACCGTGCCCAGCTGATAATTTTTTTTTTTTTTTTTTTTAGCTCATGCAAGTGATAAAGGGAACTGTGTTAATCTTTTTCATTGTCAGAATAGTAGACTGTTCTGGCATTATACGTTTTTTATTTCACTCTGGCCAGAAATGACCTGACACTATTTTTGGAGTGGAGGTTTATAATATGGCTTGACTAAACTAACTATAGAACTTAGACTACCATTTTATTTTATATCTTCCTAGATGGAATCATTCTATAATTACTCCCTCAAGAACTAGCATGAGTAACTTCACTGAGCAGTATTTAAGCAGGGGTGGGCCAGTATTTGGAGTAGAGAGGAGTGTGTCATTCACAAGAGGTTTCAGATTAGTCATTTAACAAAGGCCTATTTGTACCACCGTCTTTTCGCAAATAAAATGAATTCTGGGACTGGGCACGGTGACTAACGCCTGTAATACTAGCACATTGGGAGGCCGAGGCAGGAGGATCACTTGAGGCCAGGAGTTCGAGATGAGCCTCACCAACATAGTGAAACCCCGTCTCTACTAAAAAATACATATATATATAAGTAAGCTGGGCATGGTGGCATGTGCCTGTAATCCCAGCTACTTGAGAGACTGAGGCAGGAGAATTGCTTGACCCTGGGAGGCAGAGGTTGCAGTAAGCTGAGATGGCGCCGCTACACTCCAGCCTGGGTGACAAGAGTGAGACTCCGTCTCAAATAAAATGAATTTTGGGGCTGGGGAGGCAGAATTCCATTAAGATCACCTATGTACTTCTCTAATAACCGTGGTTATGAATTTAGACCTGTCCCAAACAGTTATATAATTGCTACTCTGTAGTGATCTATATCTTTTTTTTTTTTTTTTTTTCCTGATATGGAGTCTTGCTCTGTCGCCCAGGCTGGAGTGCAGTGGCACAATCTCAGTTTACCATAACCTCTGCCCCCCGGGTTCAAGTGATTCTGCTGCCTCAGTCTTCCGAGTAGCTGGGATTACAGGCATGCGCCACCAAGCCCAGCTAATTTTTGTATTGTAGGAGAGATGGGGTTTTATAGTGTTGCCCAGGCTGATGTGGAACTCCTGACCTCAGGTGATCTGCCTGCCTGCCTTGGCCTCCTGAAGTGCTGGGATTACAGGCGTGAGCCAATGTACCCAGCCAATGATAAGTATCTTTTGAATTCCAGTAGAGAAGAGAAACAAGTTTCTAGTAAAGAAGGTTTTTTAAAAAAATAAATAGAGATAATGCTATGAGAATATAAGCCACTGTTAAAAGTTCTTTTACTGGTGTTCTGAAAATGACATTTTTCAGGATAGATTTTTTAAAAAATTATGTCTGGCAGCTGAGACTTTGGCTATGGCCTACATCATTTCTTCTAATCAGTTTCACAAATTTAGTGGATACCTACTGCGAGCTGGGTGTTATTCTGGGTGCTGTGGATGCAGAAGTGAACAAATTGCTCTCTTAATACTCTATGTTCTTTTGGAATGAGAAGATAAAGCAAAATTTAAAACTTCTGATAGCAGCCGGGCGCAGTGGCTCACGCCTGTAATCCCAGCACTTTGGGAGGCCAAGGCGGGCGGATCATGAGGTCAGGAGATCGAGACCATCCTGGCTAACACGGTGAAACCCTGTCTCTACTAAAAATACAAAAAACTAGCTGGGCGAGGTGGCGGGCGCCTGTAGTCCCAGCTTCTCGGGAGGCTGAGGCAGGAGAATGGCGTGAACCTGGGAGGCGGAGCTTGCAGTGAGCTGAGATCCGGCCACTGCACTCCAGCCTGGGCGACAAAGCAAGACTCCGTCTCAAAAAAACAAAACAAAACAAAACAAAACTTCTGATAGCTTTATGCAGAGAATTAATGGATAGAATAGGTACCTTGGATCAGATATTCAGGAAGGGTCTGACAAAGTAAATTTAAGCTGAGACTTAAAAAGATTAAAAAAAAAATTAAGCCAGCCGTGATCCTCCAAAATCAGGGGTAAGAGCTTTCCAGGCAGAAGAAATTTTGAATACAAAGGCCCCAGCCTGGAAAACTGTGTAAAATGTGAGGTGTATGACACAGGGGCCAAGCGGCAGGCAGGGTCGAGTTCACAGACCGCTTTGTAGGCCAGGTTAAAGGCTCAATTTTCATTTTAAATGTAGTAGAAAGATTACATAGTCTTCAGCAGGGGAGTGAAAGGTCTCATTTTGTGTTTTAATGATCATTCTACTGCTGTGGGGCAAGAAACAGTGACGGGATAGAAGCACAGTTATAAAAGCTTTTGTAGCCAGAGATGCTGGTGGCTTGGACAAGGCTGCCAAAGTCAAGAAACTTTGTTCTAGACATACGCTGCTCTGAAGAAATGTGGCTCCGTTAAGGAAATCATCCAAATGGGGGTGGAAGATAAAGGGATGGTCTGTTGTTTGTTTTTTAAGACAGGGTCTCATTCTGTTGTCCAGGCTGACCTCCAGTGGCGTAATCTGGGCTCGCTGCAGCCTGGACCTCTGGACTCCAGGCATAGGCCACCACGCCTGGCTAATTTTTTTGCATTTTTTGTAGACATGGGTTTCACCATGTTGCTCAGCCTGGTCTTGAACTGCTGGACTCAAGCGATTTGCCCGCCTTGGCCTCCCAATGTGCTGGGACAGCAGGTGTGAGCCACCGTGCCTGGCCTGTTTCTAATTTTTAAATGGAAGATTCTGAAGGATTTTAAAGTGCTTATTGTAGAGAGATGTTTAGAAAAGGGAGAGCTTGGTGATGCTGGAGTTGGGAAGAGAATTGCAGGAGCACCACCATTGAGAAGGAAGGAGAGAGCAGGATCGGAACCCAGAGGCCTGGTGTTTCAGAGGAGGGGAACATTTGTGCAAGCTGTTGAGGCAGGGAGAAAGAGTGTGTGTGCAGGGAGGAGTTTAGAAATTTTTATGGAAAATGAGGGATCCTGCCAACTGACTTTCATCTTCTCAAAGAAAAGGGACATGGCTATTTAGTGAAAGAACTGGAGGATAGGGTTAGGGGAACAAAGGGAGAGAAAGAAAGTAGATTTGCAGGATCGTGGTAAAATGTAACAGTCATGGGAGACTGGGGGAGCAAGCCACTAGAGAAAGGAGAAAGGAAGATTGTAGGTGATGCTGAGTCCATGAAAGGCTGTTGAGCATGTTTAGATAAATTGGTATATATTTGTTTACTTATGTCTCTCCTCCCTGCCAGCTCAGTAGATGTGAACTCCATGAAGGCAGTCCCTGGATCTGTTTTACTACCACCACCTCTGTCCTCCCAAATACTCACTACTCAGGGCCTGATACATTGCCCGTTCTGCAGAAGAATATTTGTGTGAGTGAATGAATGCCTACCTAGTGGCACCCTCAAGTCCAAGTTGAACAAATGTGAATGATGCTTCCGGTGGTAGATTTGCTAGATGGGCATTTTGGAAGGGAGAGGACAGGAGATTTGCAGAGGGTTGCTTGAGAGTGAGGATAGTGATGGCTCTTAAATCTTAAGCTGAGTAAGAAGCCAGTGAAGATAAGAGGGCTGGTAGGTGGGAAGAAAATGGGAGGATCTGTGGATTACATTTAACAGGTGAAAAAAATTAGTGATTCCTGGGGTGGGAAACTTTTGGCAAGGATAGGAGATTGATTGGTAGGATAGGAGATGTCTGAATTTGTGATTGGGAATGTTTTGTAGCCAGAGATGCTGGCTACAAAATAACAAAGGTCAGGGTATGTCCTTGGGAGCATGAAGTGGAATGGAATAGAAGAAAGGTCATTGAGGAGAAGCTTAAGAAACAGGCCAGGCACAGTGGCTCACGTCTGTAATCCCAGCACTTTGGGAGGCGGAGGCAGACGGGATCACCTGAGGTTGGGAGTTCAAGACCAGCCTGACCAACGTGGAGAAACTCCGTCTGTACTAAAAATACAAAATTAGCTGGGCACGGTGGCACATGCCTGTAATCCCAGCTACTCAGGAGACTGATGCAGGAGAATCGCTTGAACCCGGGAGGCGGAGGTTGCAGTGAGCCGAGATCGCGCCATTGCACTCCAGCCTGGGCAACAAGAGCAAAACTCTGTCTCCCCCCCGACCCCCCAAAAAAAGAGAGACCCGGGTGTCAGGAGTATGGCCTGTATTGTCACCAAAAATGACAGGAGTTGGGGCAGAGAGCAACTTGGGGGCCAAGCCAGGTGCTGAAGTTCTCAGTGAGAGAAGCCAGTGGTCAAATGGTCCCTTTTAATGTGAAACCTGCCGTGAGCAGGCTGTAATGTCTAAATTCATTTACCTGCATCTTGCTATTAGCCAGAGTAAAAATAGTACAGTAGCTTTCCCACTCCCTTCCCCAGGCTGCCACCTCTAAGGATAACCCTGCTTTTCTATGTGCTTGTTACTATCAGAGGACTTGTCCATTTCTTTCTTGAAGTTGACTGACGCTGGTTTTAATTCTGCCTTTGATGGCTCATTATTATGTAATCTTTTCATTTACTATTTAAACTTCCATCAAACTTGCTGCCTAGGTTAATTCCTACTCTGTATTGGATGACCTCTAGCTTTTGAGCTGGTTATTCTGACATCTTTTTGGCATTAAATCTATTTTTTTCCCTTTAGGATTTGGTGTCATAATGAAAACAAGTATTTTTGGCTTCCTTTTTCTTTAAACTGAAATTCTTTTGGAAACAACAAAAGCAGTGTCTTAGTTCTTTCTAAAAACCTGTTCACAGTTTGAGATTTGCTTATATTCCTGGTGTTGGTGAAAACTGTTGTTAAGTGGAAGTTTAGAGATTATGACATCCAATTTGCCTGATTTTAAGGATGGAAAAAAATGAGGCTGAGATGTATGACTACTAACTAGTTGCAGAGTCCGTCTTCTGGCTTCCAGGTTAGTGTGTGTGTGCTCGTTTTTTAACTATACCAAATGCAGTCAGGATTTTTTTTTTTTAATCTAATTTTTGCTTGCACATCAAGAAAGGATGGTCTTTTTAATAAATATGGGGCACATGTTCTCAGGACCTCCTGGGGCTGTGTCACAGAAATAATAAATATTAAAAATAAAAATTATAATTGTATTTTCCATTTCCAGGGTGACAGAGTTACGGGAAACATATCTCTAAATCATAATATCCTCTCATGTTCTTGACACATGTAAGAGCATTAAGAGATGGACACATAGGGTAAATATTAATCAGTTTTAGGATGAGGACAGCAAGATGAAATTACTTGTTCGTTAAACTTATTAAGCTAATTCTAACATTACTGCATGGTTACTGTATGCCAGTTACTGTTCAGATGCTTTACCTATATTAACTCATTTAATCTTCACAGTTAATGATGTATAGATGCCATTATTTAACCTAGTTTTAGGAATAAGGGAACAGAAAAGCAAAGAGATGAAGTAGATTGCTCCAGAGGCTCACACAGTGGCATTTAGGCATTCTGACTGGAGCCTAGTCCTTTTAAAAAATGTATTGTTATATCAGTTACACACATTTTTGGGGTACATGTGCTATTTTGGAACATGTATGCAATACGTAATGATCAAATCAGGGTAATTGGGATATCTGTCACCTCAAACATTTATCTTCAGCTCTAAAAGAGTGGTAGAGAGTTGTAGTTGGGTCTTGTGAGTTCAAGTCCAATGTGTTCTGTACTGTATTGTCTCTGACCATGAAAATAAATACTGCCTGATCCCAACAGTGTGGTTATATGAACGACCAAGTGATCAAAAGATAAACTATGGAAACAAAGCAGAAGTTAGTCTCCCAAAAATGAAACCATAGGAAAATAGGCCAAAGGTTTTTGTAATCCACTAGGTTGGTAGAAGGGTTATGCTATTGAAGGATAATAACACTTCACCTTTTCTTAGTTATAAATGAACTTTTCTTATCCATCTAGCCCATTCCTCAGACTCCATATTATCAGAGAGAAAGGAAGAAACAGAAAAGAGGACCCCTTTTTGAGTTTAGCTCTCCTGAACACACACAGGATGAGTTCAGAAGTTCATATGACACAGGGCATTGAGAGTGAGCTCCTTGCCTGGTTCCTCACCCGAGAAGAGACCGGCCCAGGTCCATCTCTCCTGAGTAGGAAAGGCTCAGCTTTCTGAAGAGATTTCTACCTGGGCACAGGCTGCCTTGGGCGCAGGGCCTGGCTGTCTGAGGTAAGATGAAAATCTATCAGATTGTGCAGTACTGCGCACGGCTGGCCAATGGCTGTCACTAGTGGAGCTGGCAGCCCCCCCCTCCCACTTACTCAATTGGAACACCCCAACTCTGGTCACCCTGTGTGCTAGGAACAGAGATCCAAGTTATTACCCTTAAATAATTTGTAGTCTGAGATACTGCAAGGGAAGATGAGATTCAGTCTTTAATAATAATATTTTAAACAATTATACTGACTCAAAAAATAGAATTAATCAGTTTGGTTGTGAATATTCTACTTTATGTGGGCAGTTGTTGTGAAGATAGACAATCAGAATAACTTAATGTATTTACTTAACTGTTTTCTCACAGGAATTCATAAGCTTATAATTAAATTGCATCAGCCACAGCTGCCTGAGCCACCTTAGTCTAGGCTCATTTTATCCCTGGGACGTAGCTGCTGTTTTGGCCTTTGGTGCTCTTCACCTGTTTATCATAGGGTGGATTTACTTTGATTCACAAGTCATTTGTCTAACCTCTCATTTTGTCAAGATAATTCCAGGTGAAATTTCTGGTGATTGGCCCAAAGTATTTTATCTACCCACAAATTTGATCATTATCCTCTCAAATAAAGGGAACAAAGATGGAAAATAGGTGAAGCTTGGCCTCATTTATTTATTTATTTATTTATTTTATTTTTTTTTTTTTAGACGGAGTCTCGCTGTGTCGCCCAGGCTGGAGTGCAGTGGCCGGATCTCCGCTCACTGCAAGCTCCGCCTCCCGGGTTCACGCCATTCTCCTGCCTCAGCCTCCCGAGTAGCTGGGACTACAGGCGCCTGCCACCTTGCCTGGCTAGTTTTTTGTATTTTTTTAGTAGAGAGGGGGTTTCACCGTGTTAGCCAGGATGGTCTTGATCTCCTGACCTCGTGATCCACCCGTCTCGGCCTCCCAAAGTGCTGGGATTACAGGCTTGAGCCACCGCGCCCGGCCAGCTTGGCCTCATTTATTTACATATTGACCCCAATGTCCGAAGTTACTCAGAAGTGTGTACAACTCTATATAGACCCCTTCCTGGAACTGGACACAGAGGCTGAAATAAAAACCAGTTTTCAGCATGACTTAGCACAATGTTATTTATGTTCACTGCCTATTAGCCTATGGGTCATGAGATTTGTTATTCTAGAGCAGTTGAGTATTGGAGTGAAACAAGCAAAAGCAAGGCATGTTTTTCTATTGTAATCTGTGCTTTTTATTTTTTAAGGTATATGATAATAGTTTTACATCAACTAAGTGTGATCTGGATTCCTTCTCCAGAATTATAAATTACCTAATTCCGTTCTGCTAAAAGATGCAGGACAGAGAGGGTAAGCTTTTTAGCTGGATATTTATTCCTGTTGTACGATCCTCCTTACCACCTTTAACGAGTGCTAGAACTACGCCAGAGTATAACTGTCCAAAAAACTTAAAGGAGTTCTGATTTTTATCTGGTCAAATCACTGAAATATGTCATTAGAAAATGCCTGGTAGTGGCCGGGCACGGTGGCTCACGCCTGTAATCCCAGCACTTTGGGAGGCTGAGGTGGGTGGATCACGAGGTCAGGAGATCGAGACAATCCAAGCTAACACAGTGAAACCCCATCTCTACTAAAAATACAAAAAAATTAGCTGGGTGTGGTGGCCGGTGCCTGTAGTCCCAGCTACTTGGGAGGCTGAGGCAGGAGAATCGCTTGAACCCATAAGGTGAAGGCTGCAGTGAGCCGAGATCGCACCACTGCACTCCAGCCTGAGTGACAGAGTGAGATTCTGTCTCAAAAAAAAAAAAGAGAAAAGAAAATGCCTGGTAGTGAATAAAATCTTAAATCATGTAGATTAAAAATAACCTGCTACTTCTACTTATGTTGCCATAAAAGCAGTTTTCAAAATATGTTCTCTTAAAATATCTTGAAAATAGTTCCTGGTCTAATGGAAACAAGTGTTGGGAAAATTCTCTTGTTGCAGACATATTCATTAGTGTGATGATAGCATTGCCAAAAGGAAGGAGAACATGCCAGGGCCAACACACACAGTCCTGAGAACATTCCTTCTCTGAATTTCTGGCCCGTTCTTTCTCTGTCTCCCTTCTCCTTGTCCAGGAGCTCCATTGTTGGCATCATTATCCAGAATGTAAATGGCTTTGCCAGAAACACTGCCCACAGCTTGTCTAAGAACAAATGTCAAGGAGATATGCTCTTTTCCATGTATTTGCTTTGGATATTTTTCTAACAATTAAAAAAGCCTGAGGGCCGGGTGCAGTGGCTCATGCTTGTAATTCCCCACACTTTTGGAGGCTGAGGTGGGTGGATCACTTGAGGTCAGGAGTTCAAGACCAGCCTGGCCAACATGGTGAAAACCCCATCTCTACCAAGAAATACAAAAATTAGCTGGTTGTGGTAATCCCAGCTACTTGGGAGGCTGAGGCAGGAGAATCTCTTGAACCTAGTAGGCAGAGGTTGCAGTGAGCTGATAGTGCACCACTGCACTCCTGCCTGGGTGACAAAGTGACCTTGTCTCAAAAAACAAAAAAAAAACAAAAAAAACCCCAAAAAACACCTGGTATTGGAAGAGATCATTTTAGTTTAGAAAGTAGGAAGTTTCTTGATAGAGTTGGTCTGGTTGTGTTCATTCCTCAAAGGCAAGATTATAAACTGTTTCTGCCTACTTTGGAAGAGTCAGAGGGTTTGTTTTGTGGCTCTTTATGGTATTTTATCATGTTGGTGGTTTTGTATTCTTTAGAAAATTCCTGTACTTAAAAATGCTGCCTTACAGAATTAATTTCCTTTAAGGACTTAACTCTTGGATATTTCCCCTTAATTCCTCTGTTCTCAGAGTGCTTGCCATTGTTATTAAATGCCAGATTTTTAGAGCTGATAGGGCCTTTAGAAACAGAGTAAGAGAGGAGAGTTTGGAGATCATATAGTTCAACTATTTGTCTTCATAGGTAAGGAAACAGACCCCACGAGGTGCAGTGCCCAGGGCCTGCAGTTGATGAGTTAGGGCTAGAACCCACGTCCCTGTTGAGTACTTTGCTCTTCGTGGTGTGATTCTGCCCTCTGTCCTAGTGCTCAGATGATGTTCTATACTTAGCAGGGGCACTGGAGACTGAGCTCCAAACCATTTATTACTAAAGTGTATGTTTACCAAGTCCTTTTTGGTTCTGTTATTTATTCCTGTACTCAACTAAGCCAAATCTAGATTTAATTGAAAACTGTATAGACACTGTTAATTCCAAGTGTGCTCTTCAGGCCATGTCCAATGAGGGAGGCATCTTAGTCTTTCAGAGACCATTTTGATAAACATTTAAAGCTTACCATAGTTATTTTTTTGACTTAATACCTTTAAATGCCCCGTGGCATCCGATTGTTGAAGCGTAATGCCCTGTAGGATTCCCATTTCGTTTAGGTTGAGATCTGCCATTCCCCAGCACTCAGGTGAGCTGATTGAGCTGTTCTCCAACTAACCTATTTTAGGACACAAGCTATTTGTTAAACAAGCCAAGTATGTGAATATGTCACTGTTCAGGCACTAGTCTCAGTGGCCCCCCATCTCCCTCAGAATAAAAGCCAACGTCCCTAAAAGGGCCCCGAATGCTGATCACCTCTGTGACATCACTTCTCATTTTCTGCACTTTCTCAGATCCCTTCAGTTTCAGGAAAAAACTTCAGAGCATCAGGCAAGCTCCTAATGTACTTTGCACTTGGCTGTTCCTGCTATAGAGACCTTCTCCTCTCCTCTTGGTACCAGGTGGCTCCTCTTTCACCTCCTTCAAAGCAACTCACCTTCTCAGCAAGTCCCTTACTGACCATCTCATTTAAAACTGCCACCCCACCCCAACCTTCCCATTTCTGTTCTCCTCCTCTGCTGTGTTTTTCTCTATAATGCTGGTGACCTTCTAATGTAGGACCTATTTTTTCTAAAGACCTCTCCTTACAGGTATTTCCCCTTAAGTCCTGTGTTCTCAGAGTTCTTTGAGTATTGGTTTTAGTTTATTTAAATGAAAACTTCCCAGTGCTTCTCATCTGTAGCCAGCATTGGGAACTTTTGCCATAGACGTGCTTCATTAAGTGTTAGTTTTGAGAGTTCTCACAGAGGCAGAATTTAAGTATCAAGAACATATTTTTAATTCTTAATAGTAGCTTCAAGCAATGTTTTTCATATAGTAGGACCATTCTCTTGCATTAAACCACATAGTGGCTCAGCATTGTTCCCTCCTCATCAGAAAGCTTCCCTGCAGTAGTGATAGCAGCATGTTCCTATATATAACTGATCTTGAGGACCATGCACCTTATAACCTGAGGTTCCTCTGATTTTAGGGGGAGGATAATGAATTTGTATTATTTGAACAAGAGTGTTAAGATATGAGTTTTCAAATAAAATGGTTAGTTTTACTGACTTTTTCTTAAAATAGTGCAGCACTAGTTAATGTTTGTATAATTAACTCTATTTTAGAATATTTGATTCTATGTATAACTTTTTTTTTGGAAATGGAGTCTAGCTCTGGCTTCCAGGCTGGAGTGCAGTGACATGATCTGCAGAGGCTCACTGCAGCCTCCACCTGCCAGGTTCAAGCAATTCTCCTGCCTCAGCCTCCTGAGTAGCTGGTACTATAGGTGTGCCACCACATGCCCGGCTAATTTTTGTATTTTCCATACAGATGGGGTTTCACCATGTTGGCCAGGCTGGTGTCAAACTCCTGACGTCAAGTAATCCGCCTGTTTTAGGATTCCAAAGTGTTGGGATTTCAGGCGAGAGCCACTGTGCCCAGCTGATACTATGTATAACTTTTTATTTGAAAGTTTTTTTACTCTCAACTATTAAAATTACACATTGTAGAAATGTCAGAGAGCCAAAAGTGCAAGTAGAAATAATGGGAGAATCTCTCAAAGATGACAGCCATCGACACCTGTTTTCTAGCCTTTTCCTATTGCTGTGGTCCTAGTTCTGTTCAGGTGTGATGAGATTTGAACAGTGCAGTGGAGAAAATCCTACCACCACTAAGAATTCTGCACTGTTAACATTTGTACTTACTTTCAGTTTCTTATTTATGTGCATATGTTTTAAACAGAGCAAATAATATACAAGCACATTGTCCCTTTTTAAAAGGAATATATTAATAGTGTAAAAAAATAATATACAAGCACATTGTCCCTTTTTAAAATGAATATATTAATAGTGTTACATAAAGTCTTTTTTTTGTTTTTTTTGAGACAGCTTCGCTCTGTCGCCCAGGCTGGAATGCAGTGGCGCTATCTCGGCTCACTGAAACCTCCGCCTCCTGGGTTCAAGTGATTCTCCTGCCTCGGCCTCCTGAGTAGCTGGGACTACAGGCACATGCCACCACCCCCGGCTAATTTTTGTTTTCTTTTTACTAGAGACGGGGTTTCACCATGTTGGCTAAGCCGATTTTGAACTCCTGACCTCAGGTGATCCACCCACCTTGGCTTCCCAAAGTGCTGGGATTACACGCGTGAGCCACCATGCCCGGCCAGATAAAGTCATTTTTAACCACTGTTTCCCGTTCTGTTCCCTATTCCCATCATGACCCCAGCCCTGGTGCCCTAACTGAAACCATTACTTTTGCAAATTTGGTACATGTTGGTTCAGTACAGCTTTCCTATACTTGTTACCATGGAGAATAGGTAGTATTGCTTTGTTTTAGTTTATTAAATAACCTCAGGCTGTAAATATAACATCCTGCAACTTAAAAACACAAACCTTAGCTTTAGATGTATACAAGTTGATACACATTGATCTACTTCATTACCCTTGGCTATGTAGGACTCAAGTAGATGGATGTACTCCCCTTTATCCAACCCTATCCATTGACAGGGTTGAATTTGACTCTTGGCTTTTATAAATAATACTGCAACAAATACTCTCATGGGTCATCTGGGACATGTGTATTAGTATTTTTCTAAAGTTATATAGAATTTTTTTACCCTAATTTTTCTCCTCTTAATACCAAGACATGAACATTTCCCATTATTAAAATGTCTTCATAAACCACATGCTTCTTAAATCTAGACTAATTTCCTTAATGAAAAATTAATATTGGACACAAAGCTTTTTTTTCATCAGAGTAACTTAAATATCACATGGGCCCTCTTGATTGTGGTAGATAGAACATTATGCTGTTTCAACACAGAGCATTTAAAAACAAAAGCTAAAAGTGTGAGTGACTGGAGTGGTCTAAGACTGGACTACCTGGACTTGGTATTCTTATCTCCTGTTTTCTAACTCAGGGGAAGTTTCTCAGGTTTTTGGAGACAATCTCTGTAGCACCTCACTTGAGGCTCCTCCAGTGCCATTTCTCTGCATCTGACTTTCTGTTTTATTCCCCCTACTGTGTCAATACTTTATTCAGATTGCAGTTATTTATTGGTGTCTCTTGTCCCACTGCCACAGTGACCTCCTCAAGAATAGTAAACTGTCTTATTTTTGTACCCTGTCCAAGCACAATGCCTGCAGTGTAGGCATTGTGAATGCCAAGCTGAATGAATGAGAGAGAGACTATGGGGATGGGGGTGAGGGAGGGTGGGGGTCGGAGATAGTGGTGGTGATACTCACCTTAATAAGGAACTTCAGATACTGAAAGTGTGGAACAGAATGAGAGTCCTAAAAGGAAATGAAGTGATAGGGATGACAAAATGACACCTTTGACAGTGGATCTCTGCTTTAGAATATTGCCATTTGCATATATACTGACTGATTGAATCTCTGGTTTTATTAATTTCTCCTTGAAGTTTAAATGGCCATATAACTATTAAAGTGTGTACTTGGTTTGCTAGGAAAAGTTTTAAAAACTTAAACCTCCAACAGATACAGCCAACTTAGAGGTTGTTTTTTTTGTTTTTTTTTTTTTTTTAAATAAACTCCTTGCTTCATTTCTTGGTTGCCCCAATTTTAATCAAAACTGGGTTTCCCTGAATGAGTGGACTAATGTTAAAGGAAATATTTTGGTCACTGTTCTTATGAAATCCTTTGTGGTTTGAAGTGGTATTCCTTTAGCATTTCAACAGTTTCATTCATGTTCCGCGCACAGTGTAGCCAAGTGATACCAGTAAGTGAGCTTCAGAAGGAGAAGTTCAAATGCAGAACCTCCAGATTTAGAGCTTGAACAATAAAACTTCTGGGAGGGAGAGTCAGACTTTTATCATGACACTGGTTATGAACCATTTAGTAGTATAATTTATCTTTGGGCAGTATCTTCATAGCTCAGAAAACAGTTGCTTTAATGATTATTTTGTATAAGAAGCTGCTTTTCTCCCAGCTTGCTTTTTTTGTTAATAGAACACCGATGTATTCTAAGTAATTGGAGCTATCAGGAGAATATAATGTTTATCAGTAACCAAAGATCTATGGTTGAAAGTAGTGATTTATAAGTATTATTACCTTTTCCCAATACTGAAATTGTTTCCAGTACTGAAATACTTTTAAAAACTAATTGTTCTCTGGATACTTTTTGCTGCTAATTAACATCTCTTTTTACAGGATTCATGAATAAAATTTTCCATCCCAACATTGATGAAGCGTAAGTAACTATTTTAAAATGTTTAAATTTTAGCAGCAACTGCTCTTGATTAGCGTTTCTCTCTCTGTTATAAAAAGCCTCAGTTATCGTTTTGGACCTTATCAGGAGTTAGGACTGTATGAATGGTCATGTAAATGATAGAATCCAAAGGATATGAGGTCCTCAATACCTTAGTTCACATTCTGCTATTGTACCACTTAGTCTTTTCCATTGTCGTGACTGGGTCCTTCATTTTTCTTGTTATCCAGCAAACAGTAGTAATATTCCGCATCTCAATTCTCTTTGTGTAGACACAATTCAGAGATGTGTTTTCAGTCTATGGATTGACTGTTTTCAGACCTTATAGTATTTTCTCGATTCTTGAGAGTAAGGCAAAATGACTGTAGATTCAGTTAATGAATCTTATTTATCCCTTTCTTTCCTTATAATATTTTATTAATGATACTTTAAAATATTCCAGCATATCCTGTTTTATACTTCTAGTGCTGTTTAGAATATATTATTATTTGGGACGCGGTTTTAATTTGTCATGGCACTAAGTTTTGCTGTCTCTCACAAGCATATCTAACAGGTTTTTCTGAACCCTGTGTGAGTAGGTTGTATATATACATACATCATGCCCCTTAGTCCTTTAATATTATTACTTTGTTGTATCAGTTATCCTAACAAGGATATTCTCTTATCTGTCCACAGTATATAGTTGTCAGATTCAGGAATTTAACATTAATGCAACACTTTTTATTTAATCTACTGCCATACTCCAGTAACTTACTTTTTAGCACTTTTTTCTTTCAGTAAAGGATCCAGTCTAGAATCACACATTACATTTAGTTGTCAGGTTTCTTTAAACTACTTTAATCAGGATTAGTTCCTCAGCCTGCCTTTTTCTTTTATAAAATTCACATTTTAAAATAATATGAACCCATTATTTTATAGATTGTTCCTCAATTTGGGTTTGTCTGATGTTTCCTGTTCATTAGATTCAGAGCATGAACACGCTTAAGGCCAGAAAACTACAAAGTAAGATTGTATCTTTCTTGGGGTATCACATTCAGAGACATACAAGGTCTGTCTGCCCCTTGTGTTCTCAGCACCTGGTTCAGGTGTTGTCTGGTTTCTCCATTGTATAGTTACTATTTTCCCCTTTCAGTCTGTAAGGTGACACTTTAAGACTTTGTACTATTCTGTTTCTCATCATAGTTTTCCCCAATTGGGATTCTTTTTTTCACAGATCTATTAAAAGTATTTCTCTTGATAAGTAAAATTAGTTGCCAGATACAACTTTCTAATTTTTAAAAACATGCCATTCTTTCCATCTCTTTCAGGTCAGGAACTGTGTGTCTAGATGTAATTAATCAAACTTGGACAGCTCTCTATGGTGAGTTTGGCCATGGAATATTTTTTGGAGATGTTGAGACATTGCCTTAAAAAATGTTATTTGACTTTTCTTTTCTGGTTTAAGATGTTTTGTTGGTAATGGGAAGGGATTTTTGAGGGACCGACTGGGAAAGTTTGATCAGTGGAAAAAATATTTTCTCTTAAGTACAAATATATCAGTTTAGCTGTGGAAATTTAAAATGATTTTGTGAGATTCCAAACTTAAGGTATAGTGATACAGGTGCGCACACACGAATATGTGTGCAAACATATGTATGTATTAGAAGCACATAATATATGTATTTTAGTTTTAGAAAAAACTAAAACTACTTAGGAATGTCCCTCTGAAATGAGAGAGAAATGATATAGTAAGAGGTTTTAGGGAATCATCTTTTCAAAGGCCCAAACTTCCTTATGAAGGAAGAGTAATTTAGCCTTACCTTCAGTGCTGAAATTGACACCCCATCTCCTACAGGGAATCAACAAATGAATTGCCCAGCTCTGCAAAGTACTATGCTGAATATCACAGAGAGTTATAAAGAGCATCAGGCCTTTCCTCCTTATCACCTGGTTGGGGAGCTGAAAATATTTTAAAATATAGTCGTCCCTTGGTATCTGCAGGGGATCAGTTCCCAGACCACCAGCAGATACCAAAATTCATGCTTACTCAAGTCCCACACTCATCCCTGCAAAACCTGCTGACATGGAGGGCTAGCTGTATTTATTGAAAACCACATGTGAGTGGACCCATGCAGTTCAAACTGTGCATGGACCCATGTTGTTCAAGGGTCAGTTGTATATTTGAAGTTAATTAGGGATACAACAAATAAATTTATTTTTCCCTCTACTTGTCCAAATCTCAGGCTTCGTAGAGTCTCCCTACTCCAGTGCTCCTACCCCATATACTTCTGCTGCTTCTCCAGCTGGAAGTAATCTCTGGATACTGTTACATTTTATAGCTCCTTTTTTTATGGCCCACTTTCACTTTCTACTGTGTATTTGTTGTTTATGCCTATTTTTTTGTGCTACTAGATTATTTCCTATCTTAAGGGCTATCAGGTGTATGTCTGATTCATCTGGAAGGCCCAGGATTCTTATCACAGTGCCCTTCACCAATATGGGTTGAAAGAATGAATGGTACAGGTAACAATTGCTGAGAGGCACAAGAAAAGAAGGGAAAGCTCAGTTGAGGCTGAGCTTAACCGGGAGTGGCTGCTTCTTGTTGAAGACTTGTGTGACCTTTTAATGGTCTGAGGTAGATAAGACTTCTTAGTCCAGCCACAATTTGCAAGTTACCTTTGCCAGATATCCTTGAACTACGTTGGTAAATGAGAATCACAGAGAAAGGTTGGTCAGCAGCAGAACACAGTTAATCCCTGCCTCCACCTGATTGTGCCATTCAAAAATTATTTTCTCTACCTGGAATGTTCTCCCCTGATCTTTGTGTGGTTGGCACCTTCTTCACTCATCTCACATATCACTTCCTCAGAGCAGGTTCCTTTCCCAGCCATTCCATCTGAAATGACACCCCTCCATAGCACAGCACCCTGTTGTATGTATTTTTTTTAATTTTAAAATTGTTTTTTAATGCATAGAAACAGAGTTGCACTCTGTTGCCCAGGCTGGAATGCAGTGGTGTGATAATAGCTCACTGCAGCCTTGAACTCCTGGGCTCATGAGCCTCCCACCTCAGCCTCCCCAGTAGCTGGGACTATAGGAGCATACTACCAGGCCTGGCTAGTGCCCCATTTTCACTAAGCTTCTGAAACTGGTATTTGTTTATTGGTATTTGTTTATTGTTTATCTTATCCCCTTGGATTGTAAGCACGACAAGTAGGGACTTCATCTTGTTCTTGTCTTCCTCTCTCTCTCCACGCACATGCGACTATAACAGTGCCTGGTGCACAATAAGGGTTCGACTGTTTGTTGTCTTAATGGGTGAATTAATCATGTCCAGTACTGTTTAACAAGAGAGTTTTAGGGGAGATGGTGGCATCTAGTTGAGGCAACAAGAAAGAACATACACTCTGAGCTTGATTAAATGGATTCATTTTAAGATTTTTTTTGGTAAAAATGTCTCATGGCAGGCTGCCTGGAATATCTGATGTAATGATGTGTTTTCTTAAACTACATTCACATTTTAGAAGTGTACATATCAAAATACTGCAAGCTGGTTCCAATTACAATGAAGTAAATTGATGTTTAGTTTTGCTAAAGCTTTTACCATTGACCAGAAAAGCTTTGTGGAAGATGTTTGCTGACTGTCAAGTGCCTCATGTCTCAGAACAGATTTTAAAAAAAAAAAATAACAGTTTCACTGAATTCACAGACATGCAACTCACCCATTTAAAGTATGTAATTCAGTAGTTTTTAATATATTCAGTTATATGCAGCCATCACCACAGTCAATTTTAGAACATTTTCATCACCTCAAAAATAAATGTGTACCCTTTAACTATTCCCTACCTACCCCCCAGCCCTAGGCGACCACAAATCTGCTTTTTGTTTCTGTGGATTTGCCTGTTCTGGACACTTCTTAGAAATGTAATTATATAATATGTGGTCTTTTGTGACTGGTTTTTTTCACTTTGCATAATGTTTTCAAGGATGATCCGTGTTGCATGTATCAGAATTTCTTAAGGCTGAATAATATTTCATTGTATAGATAAACCACATTATTTGTCAGATAATAGACATTTGGGTTGTTTCTGTCTTTTGGCTGTTATGAGTATTATAAATATTTGTGGACAAGTTTTTATGTAGACATGTTTGCATTTCTCTTGGGTATATAGGAGTGAAATTGCTGGATAATATGTGTAACTATTTGAGGACTGATAGACTACTTTCTAAAGTGGCCAACATGAGTAAGTTTTCATCACATTTATAAAATGTTAGCGTATGTTCTTATAGTAACTTGCAAAGCATTTAATAAGCAGCAAGAGTTAAACCACGTTGGTCCAAGTGAACTGAAAGCAGACTTCTGTGTTACATGTGTATGAGTTATTGAACGTGTTCCATAATACAGGTGTGTGGGCACACTAACAGGTAAGTGCAGGAAAACCGGAAGAAATATTTTCAGAGTATACTCAAAAGTATACTGAGCATGGGAGAATTGTTTTGACATTTTGCTCAAAACTATTTCTCAAGAAAATTAAACATTTCTTTCATGGAAAGTTTTAGGAACAGGTAAATACAATTATATAAAGTACCAGTAGAATATGTTCGTTCGGATGACCTTCAAGTATTTTTTCAGACTTATCTGATCTTGAGATCTGAACTGAATTTTTATTACAAACTGTTAAAGCCTCTGGCATTGAAGGTTAGTTCATAATTGGTGAGTTCTGAATCACTTCATTTCCTGCAGTGGTTCCTGAGAGAATCTGAGTTCAAAGGACCGCCCCCACCAACCCCTGCCCCGCCAAAAAAAAAAACTAACACTACATAACTAATAGGAGAAAGTTGGCATGTCAACATAAATATTCAACTGAAAAACAAAAGGCTAAGCCTGGCACCTAAAACTTGTTTCAACACTTTCCTCTGCTGTAGATTTGATGAGGGAGCAGGGAGTGGATTGTGAAATTTCCTGCCCTTTACCTTGCCCCAGGGCATTACTGTGCCGTGGGTTATACATATTTGTAGCATAACAGCAATTCACAGTTGAAATTTCAGGTTTATGTTAATCACAGCCTAATATTAAACTGCATTCATGTTAGCAGTAAATTTAGTCCTCTGTCCCCTCACACCCCTCCCCGTCGTTGATTTCTGGTAAGCCAGTTGACTCATTGCTTCTGTTCTTACCCTGTTTTCTCTTTGCCAAGTGTATGTGCAATTTGTTTATTCAGAGTTCAAAATTGGTATAATTGTGGTTTACTCACCCAGTAATTTTTAATTTTATATTATTTAACCTTACAAGAGAGCTAATTATAGTGAGGAATTGGATTAATTTTGTAAAGATGCTTGTCATCAGTATGAAGTTATCAAGTCTGAAGTTATCTATTGTTATTCTTAGGACATTAAACAGAAAGTAGCAGATGACCAAATTGATTGATTTTGGCTTCCTGCATGATAGCATCTTTTTTTTTGCATCCCTTCCTGCTCTTCCAGACAGCAGTGACAGAAGCTCTGAGAAACATAAAATGTAGCCAAGGGGATCTGGATTTCCATTTCAAAACAAATTAATTTTAAGAACTGATAGGAGAGTTCATTAAGCCACAGGTAGCTTTTTAAGCACTCTTCTATTTTCCAGTTTTCCTTTTTTTTCTCCAAAATATATTTTATCCGTAGTTGGCTTATCACCCTGCACTCCTGGGGGCTCAGGTGCCTTCACTGCAATACAGCTTTAATCTCTCTCTCATCCCACCCTTCTGGACAAGGCATGCTTGATCCCTGCAAATGTGTTTCTCTCTCCAACTTTCGTTTTATTCATTCTTTTACTTGGTAAATTATGTATATGATGGATTAAGTTGTAGGCTGGGCACAGTGGCTCACACCTGTAATCCCAGCACTTTGGGTGGCTGAGGCGGGTGGATCACCTTAGGTCGGGAGTTAGAGACCAGCCACGACCAACATGGAGAAACCCCGTGTATTTCTACTAAAAATACAAAATTAGCTGGGCATGGTGGTGCATGCCTGTAGTCTCAGCTACTCGGGAGGCTGAGGCAGGAGAATCGCTTGAATCGCTTGAACCCGCGAGGCGGAGGTTGCTGTGAGCCCAGATTGCACCATTTCACTCCAGCCTGGGCAATAAGAGCGAAACTCCATCTCAAAAATACAAAAAAAAAAAAAAAGAAGTTGTGGAGAAGTGAGGTGGAAGACAATTTTCTTATGAAATTGGGCAGTTTACATTTTCACCCTTAGGGTTGCTAGCCAGTGGACTGGATACTTGTACTCTTATTTTGCTGGGCAGAAAAATCAACATTTGGGAGAAGTCTTCCCCTAGAGTTATCTGGGGAGTTAGTAACAGGCAAATTAAATTGACTACAACAGAAGGGAATACTTCAA